ACCGAGGCGCTCACGAGCTACGCCCAGTGCATCCTGCGCTTGGAGCAGTCGATGCGCCTCGACGCCGACGGGACGCAAGCGCTGTTGCATCTGACTGATGTTAAGACCCACGCGCGGGTGCTCAACCCGATCTTCTCGGAGGTCGTCTCGAGCCTCGACATCTCGATGCGACCCGAGCACGAGGCGTCGATTCGACATGACAACACGCGCAAGCAGCGATGGCAGACGACGCTGGCGGCGCTTCAAGCTACCATCGCCGAGCACATTGGCGTCGTCACGGAAGATTTGCGCCGAGTCGAGCATTTCAGCACGGATCCCGAGATTCTGTGTGGGTTTCAACCCGAGTTGGACGCGATCGCGGCCGCCGAAGAGGCGCTCACGAGTCTGTTTGCCAAGGCGCACAAGCACCGCGGTGACGACGCGCCTGCCAAGCTCGAAGCGCTTAAGATCAGCGTTCGCAGTATTGCCGAGACACTACGCGCTGCGATTTGCAAGCAGCCACGCGCCGACGATCTAGTGCCGCCGCTGGACGTGCATGGGCACTGTGCTTATCTCTTTCAGTTTGTGCACCGAAAGAACGTGGTCGATGTGATCGAACTGCGCGTCTGGGCCATCGGCAGGGCGCTGGACAGCACCGTGGTCCCGCCCACTGATGCGACGACTCCCAACCCGCATATTGAAGTGATGGGCAAAGCCGATTCCGTGGCTAGAGACTTGGAGATGCAAGTGCTGCGGGCCGACCTTGTTGTGATGCGAGCCGAGTCGCAGGCGCACTTTGCCGCCCAAGACAAGCACCATCAAGAGCTAACACGGCAGCTCACAGCCGCGCTCGAGCAGCTCGGACAGCCCCACGGGTCGCCTCGCCGCACGCAGTCCTTTCCCGTCTTAGACCCGCGCCACCGCGAGCGCAGCAGCGTCGCTGACGCCGTGCACCATGCGATCTAGACCACTATGTGGCGATGCACCGCTGCAAGACCTTGAATGGGGCGCATCGGAACTCAGCGTGGCTTCTTCAGCTAGGCCAGCCCGGACCCCCATCGTCGCCCCAAGACGTAGAATCGTGTATAATCCAGTGTATAATCCAGTGTCGACCCGTGTTGAGGCGCGACCGTGTCTCTGTGCGACGCGCGCCATTTTTCACGCGATCATGCGCCGGCGTCGTTTCATCATCAGCGCAAAAATTACTGCCGCGCGCTGATTGGCTACTTGCGTTCCAGCGATGCCATTGGCCAAAAAGATGGCATGACTTCCGGACGCCAATTCGCGTTTTTCACGGTCGGCAGCAGCAGCATGGGCGACAAGTCGGAGGTCTACTTCTACATCCCCAACCTCATCGGCTACGTCCGCGTGGCCCTCACGGCCTACAGCTTCTACGTGGCCGAGACGGACTGGAAGACGAGCATTATCTGCTACGCCTTCAGCTTCATCTGCGACTACTTTGACGGCTTCTTCGCCCGCTGGTTCAACCAATGTACGATGCCTCGCTCTCGGCGACGGCTCATGTAGCATCCACATTAGGCTCGACGTTTGGCGCCGTCCTCGACATGGTCACGGACCGGTACGCTGCGAGCGACTCGCGCTCTGTCGCTCATGCCATTGTGTAGCTGCTCGACGGCCGGTCTCCTCGTGATCCTCTCGCACCTCTACCCGGCGTACAAGCTCGCGTTCCTCTTCCTCCTCGTGCTCGACTTTTCGAGCCATTGGTACCACATGTACGCGTCGCGCGGCCACCACAAGTCGATCGAGTCGAAGAAGAACGTTCTCTTGCGTGTCTACTACGGCTGCTACCCGCTCTTTGGCTACTGCTGTGTCGGCGCCGAGTTCTTCTACATCCTCTTGTACGTGCTCAGCTTTGAGCCAACGCTCACGGTCGCGGGCCTCCCCCTTGCCTCGGTAGACACCCGTCCTTTTAATGGTCCACGATGCTAACGCGTCGCTTCGTAGATTGCGTGGTACGGCTGCTTCCCCGCGTGCGTCATGAAGAACATCATCAACGTCGCGCAGCTCGCGTCGGCCGCGGCCAGCGTCGCCGAGTTCGACTACGAGCAAAAGACCAAGGCCAAATGAGCCACTCCATTCGCTTGTACATAGCACTATCAAGATAGCATCAATGTAGCTATAACACGACAATTATTCCACAAGGTTACGATCGAAGGGATGTAGCTTTAGCGACAGTCTCTGCATACAGGACCAAAATCCGCGCCAGACGCAGAATGGCCTCATCCATCGACGGAGAGGCCATTTCGGGCGCCCATCGCATACTCACGGAGGGGCCAGCAGCCCGTGAGGTCCAGCGAGTGCACATGACAGAGCATCGAGACATTGGTGAGCCCCAAGCAATTGAGGAGGCTGAGCGAATGCATCCACGGTCGTGAGCTGGTCGCAGCCGTCGAGACACAGTGCTACTAGTTGCACAAAGGTGACTACGTCGACGTCGTCACCGTGCATCCGATGGCAGTTGGCGAGGGTGAAGGTTTGCACAAAGTGCAGACGTACGTGGGCGAGCGGCAGACATCGCAGTGCGAGAGGTCGAGTGTGACGACGCTGGCGAGCGGTGCGACGTCCTTCTCTCATATCAATCGCGGTCCGAGAGGCACGCCGTGTGCAACTTCCCGAGATAGCTCGAGTCGACCAGAGCCGTTCGGTTGGCAATGTGTGTGGAGATAGCCAAGGGGCGACCAGGGCGCAGTGGCCGTTGATGTCGAGTATATGTTGGCCGCCCACGCATCAATTTGCGTGATGTGTCGTCGGGTCCGAAGGGCCGACTCTGCAGGCATGGCCGCTTCTTGACAATGCACTGAAAAGGAAGCAAAAGAAAGATTGTTGTTACTTCATTACCCCTATGGTTGCAGATCACGGGAGCCGTGTCACCCAATCACGGGTAGACCAGGAGGTAGCCTCTTGAGTCCCATTGGACGAGGTCGGAAGCCGCGCGCATTGCGGCTCCCACCAACACTCGAAGGCGGTGACAGAGGAGCCCTGCAAAGGACCATCCCTGCACAACAATGCGTCAAGTTGCAGATATGAAGCGTCCCTGCAAAAGGCGTCCCATACCAAGTCCGTATCCACAACCCCGTGGCAGCGAACCAGCTCGATGATCTCACGGACCGGCTCGGTTACCGCTGCGTCGCTCTCCTGAGGGCCATCTTAAAGTGATCTTAGTCTTTGCGGTTGTAACGCATGTCACATGCGGCCCTTCCGCGCTGCCACGTACCCCGTATCCGGACGTCCGGAAGCAGTCGCGGCCGCGTGGCCGGCCATGATGCGAGTAAAAGGTCAATGCGACTGGTAGAAGCAAACTAATATACTATTATATGCATGGTGCGTTATTCGTCTAGTTTGTGGTGGACTATGAGAGCTGGAAGCCCGAGGACTGGCCGCCGTTGTACATGCGACGTGTTCGGCGCTCGCCCGCAATGTTGCCCGGCGCGTTCTGGAGGAAGATGTCGCTCGCGCTCTGGTTCTGGTTGCTTCCGCGGCGCTCCATCTGCTGCTGCATGTACTGCTGCTGCTGCAGCTGGTACTTTTGAGCCTCCTTGTCACTGTTCCCGCCGCCGCTGTTGTTGCTGCCGTGACGCACCAGCGCCTCGTTGTTGCCAAACACTTGGCTCCCGATCTGCTCGGGGCGGTTCGACGACCCGCGACGGCCTTTTCGGTCGTCCATGAACGACCCCGACGTGCTGTTGGCCGCGTCGGCGCCGCCAAAAATGAGCGATCCGACCGTCGACCCACCGCCCGGCGGCTTGGCGAGGCGTGTGCTGGAGCGGTCGCCGATAAAGTTGTTGAGGTTCTGCGACTGCGTGGCGCTCGGTCGGGACATGGTCTTCTCAGGGAGTGCAGAGGCAAAGCGGAAATGACCGATGGAGAGCGCGAGCCAAAGCAGCTATTTTGGATGCGGGTTCGCCTACGCGATCTTGTGAGAGACCAATCAAGGCCTTGGCCAGTGAACCCGCCGACGCAAGCCGGGCGAAGACCCGGTTTGAGCCTAAGGAGATAGCCTAAAGTTGAAGTGGCGACCCTAGCTTACAAGGTCGATATCCAGGATCGGCGGCTCAAGCCACCGCTGCACTTACGACGCCACTAGCTACTGCAGTCGTGTCGTTGAGGCAAGGGCAATGTCGAGTAACTACAGAGAGCACTGCACCAAATTGTTCGCAGATTGGACAACTGAACCGTCGGAATAGCCCTCAAGTGTACCTAGCATCTGCAAGCTCGGAAGATAGCGGCCACGTGATGCTGCCGTACACTGTACTAGATGGCGCCAGCAGAAGACGACCACGACCACACAATGTATGGTTCACGTTCCGGCGTCGCCGGGCCCACGACGGCGGCTCGAACTCGATCGCATCCCGCTTAACGCACCCAACTGCAGAGCAATAGGGCGAGCTGTATGAGTCATCGCGCATCGATTTGCAGCTTCTATCGACCGGTGAGGGCGGACGACCTGGTGGCGGTCCCACGCTGTCGACATTCCGGACTTGGTTGAGGCTAATTGTACCCAACTGCCCACTGGCTCCATGGCGCCGCTTCAACTTGGCACTTGCGCGTCCCGAGGTAAGGAGCATCGCAATGCCTGGGTGGCGCTCGCCAAGCGCGGGTACGACCTTGGCACCAACGGCGCTGGCTCCTTGGTGGCGTGCGAGGGCGGCAGTTGCGTGCGTATAGCTGGTCGCAACTGCATATATAAATACATAGAGGTTGTAGGCTGACGCGATCGATTTGCAGAGGTGCCAAGCCCCTTCTGGCCCGACTTCAACGCTGTGAGACAGAGACGACGACGCCACGGATGCTTCGGTACTCGAGCCCCAGTCGCCGACAAGAGACGTCGCCAGAGAACGCCGACTCGATGCTGGCCTTCGTCAACGGCGTCTGCCGCTGCTGCCTCGGCGTCGACCTCTGCGCCACGAGCCCACTGGTGGTCTACCTCGCCGAGGGCCCACTCATCAAGAAGGGCGACTACGCCCACTTTCGCTACTTTGTGCTCGACTCGAACGGGTTCCTCAAGTACTACGAGATCCCGGTCAAGCAGACCATCAACGACATGGGCGACGTCGTCGTCCACATCCCGAAGAACAAGCTCACGCTCACGAACCAGCTCACGACCCGCAATTTGCGTGGCGTCATGCTCCTGCACCCGTCGCTGTGCGCGACCGAGTTTGAGATCTCGGGCTCAGGCCTCGACCTCACGTCGCTCAACCAGACCACGTCGTCTCTCAACTCGGAGATGCGCTGCGTGCGCCGGACGCGCGAGATCCTCGTGACGGGCTTTGCGACCAACGGGACGCTCACGTCGTGGAAGCTCCAGGCCTCGAGCCACTCGCACTACGACATGTGGGTCAAGGCCTTCCGCATCGCGATGCGCCCGGTGTGGGTGCCCAACTCGAAGCACTGCCAGATCTGCCATGGCACGTTCACGGCCTTCTTCCGTCCGCACCACTGCCGGTACGCGCGCCGACACCATGTCCATGCTCACACCTGTACGTAGCAAGTGCGGTACGTGCGTGTGCTACCAGTGCTCGCACTTGATTCCGCGCCTGCCGCTGCTCGGCTACACGGACCCCGTCCGCATCTGCTGCGACTGCGACCCGCTGCCGGAGCCGTTCTTGCCCGGCACAAAGGTGCTTGTCTATGGCATCCGCGTCGGTACGATCGTGCAAGGCTCGTCGGACGCGGTCATGGTCCACGTCTCGATCCCGGCGCGCCAGACGATCCAGCGCGTGCACATTCGATATGTCGAGCGCTACTCGGAGATGATCCTCGCTGCCAACCGCATCAAGTGCCGCCTCAAGTCGTACTTGGCGTACCGCCTCTTTCGCACACAGCTGCATTTTCACACGTGGAGCCTCCTCGAGACGCTGGAAGAGCAGCGCGCGGTGCAGACCGTCAAGATCCTCAAGACGTCGATCAGCGTCAACGAGCTCCAGTCGCTCACGCCCGCGTGGAGCAACTCGTGGGACCAATCGGCCGAGCTCCAAAACCAAAACCTCCCGGGTACACGAGTTTCTTGTTTCGAATACTGTATCAAGTTGATACTTAGACAATGTCGTGCCGGCGTCGTACCGTGGGGCACACCTCACGTTCCCACTCACGGAAAACCAAGTGCTCAAGCTTGTCGACGCCTTCCGCAACGGCCTTCCTCTGCACCAAGCCTACGTCACGCGCCTCCTCAACCTCGTACACCGCAGAGACCTATGAGATCGTAGTTTCTGAAGGGCTGTGTAGATTCTCGAGCAACCGCTCGTGTGCATGAGCCGGCTCACGATCCCAAACGGCGTCCAGGTCGTCATTGTCGGCGACCTCCACGGCCAATTCGAGGACCTCATGACGATCTTTGATCGCAAAGGTGTGCCCAGCAAGCACGTGTGGTATGTCTTCAACGGCGACTTTGTCGACCGCGGTCTCCACGGCGTCGAAGTCATTCTGACGCTCCTCGCGTACAAGCTACTCTACCCGACATATGTGTTTCTGAACCGCGGCAACCACGAAGCGTCGATGCTCAACCACGTCTTTGGCTTTGAAGAGGAAGTCATGCGCAAGTACCGGGACTCGGGCGCGCTCTTCCAGCTCTTTGGACAAGTGTTCAACCGCCTCCCGCTCTGCACGCTCGTGCAAGACGCGATCTTCATCGTGCACGGCGGCGTGCCCCACAACCCGAATGTGACGCTCGCCGACATCCAAGCCATTGACATTGAGCGCGAGCCGCCGACGGGGGCCAGCGGCCTCTTGGCCGACGACATTTTCTGCCAAATGCTCTGGAACGACCCGCAGCCGCACGATGGCATCACAATCTCGAAGCGCGGCTGCGGCTACGAGTTTGGACCGGACGTGACGCAGGCATTTTGCAAGACCAACAACCTCCAGATGATCATTCGGTCGCACGAGTCGCACGAAGATGGGTACGTCGTGTGCCACGACGGGCTCGTCCTCTCAGTCTTCTCGGCGTCTGCGTACTGCGGCTTCCAGACCAACAAGGGCGCGTTTGTGGTTGTCACGAACGAACTCAAGCCGTATGTGGTACAGTTTTACGCCCAGCCGCTGCAAAAGTACACGTGCCACCGCAACTGGCGCGCGCAGACCAAGGCGTTCGAGGACAAGACGCTCTGGAGCCTCCAAGAACTCATTGGCCAAAAGTGCGACGCGCTCCGCCAGTACTTTCGTGGTCAGCCCTTCTGGCGCATGTTCCTCACGCGTCTGCAGTGGAAGCAAGCGCTCACGGACGTCCTCGGCGTGCCGGTCCACTTTCTCCTCTACGCGCCCCAGCTCGTCGTGCTCGACGACCACGACAAGATCGACTGCTACGAGTAGGACTCCTGACTTGTGTTGAGACGCTGTTGACGACACGGGACTAGGTTTCTCCGGTACTATGAAGTGTCGAGCGAGACGGACGTGCCGTGGTGCCACGAGATGCTCGGGCGCATCTTTGGCGCGATCCTGCAGGACGCCGACCCGGCGCTGCCGGAGCGGGCGCTCATGAAGCGCGCCTTCGAGTACTTTGACCGGTCGCTCAAGCACCGCATAACGTTTGACGACCTCAAGGACACGCTGCGTGTGCTTGGGTACCTCGAGGCCAAGCCCGCGTCGCTCCCCATGTCGTCATCGCTCTCGGTGCCCATGTCGTCGTCGCTCTCGTCACTGGCGTCGCCGCCGAGCCGGGCGATGCGCAACTCAATGGCGAGTCTCTACCGCGACGAGGCGAGTGTGGCGACGACCGACGACAAGGATGCGGTCGAGGACGAAGACGACATTGTGCTCTCGGAGCAGCAGGCGTTTGAGCTCATGCAGTACCTCGACATGAACGAAGACGGCATCGTGAGCGAAGACGAGTTTGCGACGACGTTTTACGCGGTGATTGGCCACTCGCACGCGCACTACGCCGCCGCGTAGGCCGAGTACATACACTAAGGAATCTTCTATATATCGATCTATCAAATGCTAAATCGCATATTGCAGCGCCAGAGACATCCGCCGAATATGAAGTTGGCCATGTTTTATGGAAAATATACACACAGAGAAGGCGGAGAATGCGGTGTGGCTGCAGAGGACACGGCGGGTCGTGTCGCGGCCACTTGGCGGATGAATTTTTGGATTTTTCAACAAGTAAACCACCGATCACTTTTCTCGTTACGAAGAGACGACAGTCGATCGCCTGCAATGGCGCGAGTACTGGCGTCTTGTCGCTTCCACGTTCTCAGATCGATCGAGGTCTACGGATCCCAGGAGCAAGCTTCAAGACAACGCGACGTCGCAGGCCGGCTGACAAGGCAGCCGACTGACGGCGTGTCAAGATTCGCCCCTGTCGCAAGTGGCGATATACACGCTGGGCGGACGCCGAGGTCCACACACCGCGAGAAAGCGCTGTCGTTGGATGCGAGGAGACCTTTCTAACGAGAAATGTGACATACCGCCCGTTGCTGGCGTCAGTTTCGCCACCTGTCGGCAAATGTGGAACGGCCGAGATTTCGGCGCGCAATGTCGTCGGCGCTCTGGCGTCTGGCCGCAGAGAAGAGCCTCGTAGTGGTGTTGCCACGTGCTACCGCCGCAGCAACGTCGCGCTGGGACGTTGCTGCGAGCTTGTGTTACGCGCCTTCTTTCTCGATGAGGATTGGAATGATCGCGCCACGAGCCGCGGTCGCTCGCACGCCAGCGCGGGCAGGCACACGGTAGCTCCCGAAAGCTTGAGGTGGACCTGTTACAGTCCCATAACACCTCGGCACGGACACGGTCGAGCGGTCGAGTGATCGAGCGACGGCCGGGACGGGGTTGCGTATTCCAACGCCTATCGTATTACGACCTGCTACATCGCAGTACGGTGTAGCGCGATGGGCTACTCGTTGCGCTGGCCTCTTGGCTGCCCGGATGCACCCACGTGTTACAACCTAGATCTTGGAGTTATAACAGCAAAAAGAGCTGGTTTGTTTGCGTTATGGCACCTACATTCCACCTCGTCGGGGCCGTCAATGGCACTGGATAACTTCGAACTTCGCGTCCCACGGCCACCGTAGTGGCGAGGATGTCGTTGTCGTGGGGTGTATATCGCAGGAGTGCAGCGGGCGAGACGAGCAATTCGCCAAGTGAGCGCGGCGTGAATAATTCGAAGCGTCGTCCTTCTGGCGAGGGAATTTTCGCGCAATGCGCACATGTCGCGCGCAGGTGGTCCCTCAAGCGAGGGCAGGATTTTGGAACCCGAAGTTCGCAGACGGAGACGGCGCCAGACAATATGTGTAACAGGCTGGCGCCAGAACGGGCCGCTTCAACGCGCGCCGAGTGACCACTTTTCAATTTGCCAACCAGTAAGCATGTCGCTCGCCACGCTCCGCAGCTCCGTCATCGACGCCCGTCGCGAGGGCAGCCACACCGAGTACGCGATCAAGGTCCAGGTCTCGATCGACGACGAGTCGATCGTCATCTACCGCCGCTACTCGGCGTTCGTGCAGCTCCAGAAGTTTGTGCTGCGCCACCTCAAGGAGGGCCAGTGCTGCAGCGGCGGCCGCTGCCTCCTCGAGTCGTTCCTCAAGTCGCTCTTCGAGACCGAGTTCCCGAACGCCAACTTCCTCTCGAAGAACTCCAAGTCGGTCGTCCAGGACCGCGTCTACTTTCTCAACGATTTTCTCATGCGCATGCAAGAAACCATGGCCAAGTGCCCGCCGCGCATCATCCAGCGCTGCGAAACCGAGGGCTGCAAGGTCTCCAAGCTGCTCAAGAGCTTCCTCGGCGCCGTCGCTGTCAACCCTGCCCACTACGAGTAGAGGCGTACGCTGCTGCTGCTGTATATTTACGATTGATCTTCTCCTCGAGAGGGCGCATGCCGTAGCGATCGCGTCGATTGCAGACAACGTCGCTGCGGAAGCCGCCTTATTTAAGCCCACAAACAACCCTTGCATTCTATCTCCACCATACCTTGCACACGCCGAGGAGGACTAGGTTCTTATTGTCGAGCCAGAGGTAACCAGACGAGAGCTGGAGTAACGTGCTGATGGAAACGCAGACAGGCGGAGAGGCGGTGCGTCATTGACAGTTCGTCGAATCGCTCGAGCATGGGTGACGGACGACCCACCCGCTTGACGCTGGATTCGAGCAGCAACGTTGCGCCGCTGCTCGTCGCTGCAGCACCCGACGCGTCATGGATACGGTGTATATTGGTTTTGACAGGTACTTCTGAGAAATAACGTCGTCAAGTCACTTGATACATATTCGTTTTCAAGAGGGTTTCAAGTCTCGGCTAGAAGGTACCGTTCCTTGCACGACGCTCTCTCGGTGCGTCGATCGTCGTATGCCGACACCTCAGCAGACCGTACATGCAAGAGCCTGTTCGAGCGGTTGGAACTTGCTTTTCTGCTGGCTGCATCTCGCCACCCATGATGTGCATTGCCGTCTCGTGAGCTGCACGGTTGGTGGATCTGCTGCGTCCACAAATACAGAGAGACTGGCTAGAGCGCGGCGCAGTCACCATTGTCAAAGCCGCAAACCGCCACGTTGCACGGGGCGTCGCAAAAACCGTTGCCTCGACGCACGTTGGCGCAGAAGGGCGCGCACGCCGCATCGCAGACACCCTGACGTAGTGTCGCTGCCCAGTGGTAGCTTTGCTCGTGCGCACAAAAAGGCGTCGAGCCAAGGTGAACATAACCTCGGGTCAGTGCTGCTCGGACCGCCGGCGTGTCGGGCACGTCTGCGATCCGAGTTTGATCGAGCGCGAGGTCCAGCGTTGGGTTGGCCGTGATGAGACTCGTTGGGAACTCGGTGATGGGATTCGCGTCCAAATAGAGTTTTTGCAGCAGCGGCAACGTGCTCACTGCATCCGGAACGGTAGACAGGTTGTTGCTGCTCAAGACGAGAAACTGGAGAGAGCGCAAAGCTGCGATCGATTCGGGAACGACCTGGAGACTGACGTTGCTCAGCCACAAGTTGGAAAGATGGGTCCAGTTGGCCCACACAGCGTCGGGTACATTGACGATTGGCGCCGAGTCGATGTAGATGCCAACGAGATGCAACGGCGGCGACGCCAGTGCGACTGGAAGCGCCGTGAGCTGGCTGTAGCGAATGTAGGCTAGTGCGAGCGACGCGGGGTATGCACTCGGCGGAATCTCCCACGACGTCATGTTGGAGTACTCGATGGCGTAGGCGAACAACTCTTCAAACGGTGTTAGCGTCTGCGGTTGCAAGCCGCGGGGCAGCGAGCAGTGCAGTGTGTGCAGCACCATGAGGCTGGAGCCCAGGAGGTCCACATTCAAGTAACGCTCTTCGTCTCCGTCGAGAGAACAAACGCTCGTCCGGCAGTCGAGACGCGCATAGACGCAAGCGCAAGCAGCGCTAAACCACGGACGCGCTTCAAGGGTGCAGTGTGCAGGGCAGGCACTACTGTGACCGATTGCATACAACGAGAGACACAGCACGCCTAGACCCCACACTACATTGAAGCCAATGAGAAGGCGGACCCAGCGCTTGTGGGTTGGAAAGCGTATTCGGTTGCACTGAACCGATGGCCGTTTGATGGAGGGTGGCGGGCATGACAAGGCTGCTAGCGTGGCCTCTATCGCGCCCAGCTGCAGCGCACTTGGCGCAATCATCGCCACAAGTTTGGCTACCGACGTGACTGCGAGGAGGCGCCACGACGCGACAAGCTCAGCGTACCACGCATACTGATTCACCGTCGAGCCCGTGTCGTGTTGTGGGCCGTAAATGACTGTAGCGGTCGGGACAAGCACAAAGAGAGTGGGGAAGACGACCGCTATGAGCAGCGTCGTAACGCTGTCGAGAGCATCGACGAGCCCAAGATGGTCATACGCGATGTAATATGGCGTGACGAGGCAGCTGACGGCGACAAGCGCCGTGTAGGCACCCGCGACCGCCGTGTGCGGTGTCGCGGCGGCGGTCGTGTAGGCGAGGTACGTTTGGCCGAGCATCGCTAGCGTGTGAAGCACCGTCGCTTTCAGCTGTGGCGGCCATGGGCGGGTAGCACAAAAGGACTTGGAGAGATTTGGTTTGTATCGCGGCCGAAGCGGGATTAGAAAGGCAACAGCAACGGCAAAGAAGACGCTCGCGCAGGCTTGGGGCTGGATGAAGCGAACCATGCGGGTTTGGATCGGGGTGAGGCGCCAGGCCATGAGCCCAAGAAGTGCAAAGTAGAAGCTGTTGCCAAGAAGGTACAGG